ACTTTTTCCCAGCTGGGAACACTGCACATTTTGAGATTGCAGTATCTGAGATTACTGGCAGTCGTAATTTAAGACACATAATCATAAATTAATGGGAATTATTCAAATTGTCTGCTTCACTGAGCAACAAAGGGGAACTTGATTACTATGACAGTGGCAAAAAATGCAAAATGGGTTATAATGCTCTGTTCGCTAGCTATAGGAAGTTTGGTATTTTGTGATTCTAAAGGAATTTCTAGTTGTAAGAAGCGAATACAAAATTTAACATAGCTAATGACCATTACATTACACCACTTAAGAATCAAATACATTGGTAACCGAGTTTTTAAGGCACTGAGCTATCTCCTGTAGTTTGTTAAAAACAATTCAGGAAATCTAACAGATAATCCATCGGAACAAAATCAGTCAACAACTATAGAAGAGGGAAATCCAATATGGATGGAGCACTATATCTGATAAAGTCAATAACATATTGAATTATCCATCAGATCCTCAGAACCATCATAAATCATGGACTAAAGGAAAAAAAAGTTCCACAACACAACAATAATAATCCTTGCTTTTGATATAGCATCATATTATCAAATGTATCAAAGCCCTTCACAGAATTTTGCCAATGTTTAGTGACTACTTGTTGGCAACTGTGGCAGCCAATTTGTGCACTGCTATGTCCTAGAAACAGCTACGTATTGCAAACAATCTGGATGTGAATGATCAATTTTGTATTTGGGGGAATAATGGCTAGGACCCTGGGAGAAATTCACTTCCCTTTTCAAATAGTGTCACACGATCTTTAAAGTCTAACTGAATAGGCAGACAAGACCTCAGTTTATAACATTTCATCTGAAAGATAGTAGGTCTAACAATACAGTGCACCCCCATCTTAGATTAAGAGCTCCAAGGTATGACATGGGACTTGAACCTACAACTTTCTGACTCAGAGGTAAAAATGCTATTAACTGAGCCAGCAGAGAATAGAGAAGCCAGCAGACCCAAAATGAAGTTTTATTTGGTCTGAGCATGTGATGGTAAAATATCACCATCTACTCTGTGAGGGAGATAATATATTTTCAGAAATTGTCTGGGAGCCACATTTATAATGTTTATCTTTTGTCAGCTCACTAATTATATTCCATAAAGTCATTACTTGACATGACTGAAATTTCATGTGCGTATTTGTGAGCTGCACCTGAATTGTGAAAATGTTGCTATCACTCTCGCACTTACAAAATCTTTCTGAAGTTCCAATGCCCATTGGAAGGTCTAAAGTCTAAGACCTTAGACCTAGACAAAGGTCATTAAAACAACAATGGACATTTTTCTGCAGATGAATGATCTTCATCAAGCTCCACCATAACCATCCCGAGATCTCGTACATCTTGGATGACAATGATAAAGCACAAGAGGAAATTGAATCCTCAGGTTCAAGTCATCGAAGATGAGGGATCCAGGTATTCCAACTAAAAATATGCCTGTAGTTTCGGGAGCTGATGACTGAATCTTTTCTGGGAAACATTCAAGTTAAGAAGTTGCATTTGAGCAAGATGTGAATTCAACTGTTTAAGATAGACTTTGGTCTTTAAAGTGAATGCAGCACATTCCCAAATCTCATTGGGAAGGCAGTTTATATATATCTGCTTCCTCAAGCCATGGTGTGTGTACGTGTCCTCAATCTCAGTGATGCACTGATTTATGTCCTGTTTATACCGCCAGAAGCAATGAGCCATCATTTCCAACAGTGGGAGTGAGAATCAGGGGAGGGAAGAATTGTGCACATGTCCAGGTGCATCTAAGTACAAGTGCAGTAGTCCATTAAACCTGTGGTTTTTTTTTTACAATAATTGAAGAATCAGATACACAACTGGCTCTTTTTTCACATTAAGAACTGTTCATTTAAAAGGATCTTGTGTGTTTTTTTCTATTAAGGGACTATTTATGAGCAAAGCCCAAGTTGTTTTCCATCTTCTGCATTCACATTGTAGTTGTGCAAATCACTGTAGAGACCAGCTTCTCAAAATGGTCTTGAAATTTGAAGTTCGCCACAGTTCGCTTTCAGGTTATGTGAATCACCTGAATTTATGTGGTGCAGGAGTAGGGGGGGGGGGAAGCAAAAAGCCTGATTTAAGATGGGCATAAATTATAAAATTTAACTTGCAACATCGCATCAGGGAGTAGAGGTTAAGCAGCAGGTCAAACAAAGGGACGCAACTACAGATTAAGTCCTTTATCTGGTCTGCTATCCCAACTGGAGAACAGGCTGCACAGATATTTTCCCATTAGGTGATGGTTATTTCATGTATGGCTTTGCACACAATTAATAATAATAATCCTTGCATTTGACATAGCACCTTATCACATCATCAAGACGTTGAAAGTGCTTCACAGAATATAATGTAAAGTGAATTGACTGTATATCTTGTGGGCGAAACGCGGCAGCCAATTGCGCACAGCAATGGCCTACACACAGTCGTGGATTTACTGACCAATTTTTTTTGTGGGATGATTTCTCTCGGAAAGCGATCCGCCAATTGACTTACAACTAGGTTCCTACTTCCTACTTCACTTTACAGTGTATTCTGTGAAGCGCTTTGAGACGTCTCGAAGACGTGATAAGGCACTATATCAAATGCAAAGATTATTACTGCTAGGTAAACAGAGGTGTGGAATAAGGAAACTTACCTACTGTTTCACCCTCCCTCTCTCTCGAATCAAACCCAGGTTCTGTCTCTTGCGAGGCGAATGCTCTAACCACAATGTTACAGGACTCCAAAATTCACCGTTTTTCCTTTGTACCTTTGAAAAATCCCCAACTAACCTCAATGAACAATGGAAAATTTCATTACTCCAATTACTAAGGACATGCTGAAAAAGCTAGAATTGGTTGGAACATCATGTATTGGGAGCATCTCAAGAGGATACCTTCATTCTGGCTTCACAGTCAATTGAGCTTGAAAGTATAGCGTTCAGTCAATCAGAACATTATATTTTTAATACTGATTGAGTCTTGGATTGAGAACACCTGTTAGTCAGTCATAATGCAGCATACAAATTACTGTAGCCACATATCTCAATAAGGTGATATGACCTTAAAAGGTGATACAACCAGTCTCATAGTGGAAGGATTGCCCTCAGCACATCTCTAAACATTACAAAATATAAAAAATTGTTAACCTCTTATCATCTTTCTTAAATCAATTTAGAAAATTGTAACAAAATCAATACATCACGAGCTTAGGAGCAAAACATGATCACGGGAGTTTCTCCTGAGAAATACCAACTTTGATTAATAAATTGCTGCAGCTGGCAAAATATTCCCTAAACTCATCAAAAACATAATGCTGTAGAATATAAGCTCCCAATAGATTTTTGTTTATTTAAACACTTCATAATAAAATACAAAGTTGTACATTTTTAAGAAATGGAGTGACAAAGAACAGTGCCATTTTCCTAAATGGATTTTCGTTTTTCAATTAATGCCTAATACCTGTGGTTGAGGACTTGCTAATTGAGTTTCATGCACATTTTCAACATTGTTGAAAGTACCAATCTCTCCTCTCTTATGCTTTCAGAAACTGAACATGCACTTTGCAAAACATACAATTTTTACACCAATCAATACTCCAGCTGGCAACATTTTGCATTTGTAGAAGGATTAACGTCACAAAAATGCTCAGGAACACTTAACCAAAAATTTGACATATGTTTTGGGCCCTATTTTGCAACCGTTTCCCATTACGAAATTTACCTGAAAATTGCCCCAAATTGTAGTAGTTGAGCTGACCTGCACTCTGTTCTCAAGTTCATGATATTTTTAGAAACGTGGAAGTATAACCACAAAAAAGATAGGAAACCCAAGATAATTGAGCAAGCGGTACAGATGAATGGCAGTAGAGACCATGGCAAGGAAGGTTCCACATTTGAAAGTGGATCTAATTCTTCCTCTCAGTTTTGGTTTCTGTGTATTTGAGGATTTGCCATGTATTTTTAATATATCAGTTTTCTCTGCAAATTAACCTGGTACCACTACATCTGGAATTGTATTATGTACCATGCAAGAGAAACATCACTTCAGCACAATACAGCACAAGGTATTGCGTTCAGAAATCATTAGTCTTCCACAAAGTAGCACTGTGAGCCAAGTAAGATGAATAAAGTGCTGCTTTAGGTTGCAGGCAATGTAAAGCTCAGGAATATCTTGAGAAACAGATGTGCAACAATATTAGTGAACCTGATCTATAGATAACCTTATTAGTGCAGCAACAAGATGTGCAGTATCAAAGTTTTATTTAGCCAATATCCAAGACTCGAACTGCATACTGTGCTGGTATAACACACAGGAAAGATGATACAATGCTGTCATAGTTCCAGTGAAATCCTCAGTGACATGCACCAATATTGGGTCAAACTGCAATGGCAGTAAAAAAACATGCTGATAATTCTCTAAGAAGCACTATGGTTCGTGCTACTTCATGTTGAAAGGTTTTGCAGTTATCAGTAAATAATTGATGCAGTCAGATATTGGGACATTAAGAAAACTTGGATCACTGAACTTATAATTGCTATTCAAGCATGCTTAAGTTATCATACCAAAGGGAATAGCTCATCTTTTGAAGGAAACTCCAAGAGTTGCTACTATTCCTATCAAAGCATATTCGTTCTATATACAGAAGTAAGATGAGTTTCTCTGTTGTGTCTTAGCATATGCCTTTCATAAGAGCAAGATTGTACAATTCAGCTTTGGATGGTTTAAACTTCAGGGTATCCCTAGAGTGAACACACCTAAATCTCTTCTTTAGTAAGTTATTGGACAAGATTTATGAACTTGTTAAACTAATGCTCAGATGATATCTGGAAGCTGCTTCTAGTTGTCACACTCCACAGTTTCAATGGGTGACTAAGATCTCTTTGATGGTTGGCCAACAAAATATATTTTCTTGATTGAATATTTCTTGATTTATATTCTTGAAATATTCAATCAAAAAAGACTGAAAACACATTACCTAGACTCGTGCGAATTTTCAGGAAGGCCATTTCTTGATGGCCTTGTGGGCCACAGGTTGGCGATAACTGTTTTTGATGAAGAGGTTGAGTGTTAAACTGAATCACTTTGCAATCATCTAAAGGATCATTTTCTGAGCAATGTGAATGACTGCACATTAAGGACATAGAAGGCTGATGATGCTCACTATCAGATTGACCGAGGGCATGATACCTCCACATGGCTACAGACCACTAACAGGCACTTCTAAAAAAAGAAACTGAAGTCATCAGAAAAAAAAACATACATTTTCTGCTGCGTGTGGCCCAGTGTGTTGACATTCCTGGAACATACATGAAACCGCCAGCCTTCTGGAACAGTCGATCAAATATCATTTAAAGAAGAGCTTGATGCTGCGATGGGAGGGTGGATATTCTGGAGGGCAAAGTCAAATAGACTGAAAAGCCTTTTTCATCCAGTTATTCTTCAATCTTGTGGTTTTTTTGTCTCTTGAATGGAGGTGGATGTGATATTCTTATCATTACCAACAAATTTGATGGAATCAACTTGGCTAAGAATGGTTCTTGCTAATTTGACTGCCACAGGTAATATTGTCAAAATTGCTGAAGAGCCATTTAATTCCATGGTTACTGTTTGACATAGTATAGACATTACCTCTTTTCCTGAGCCTGGACTTTGTTCCAGTGATGCTCTCCATCTCAGTTACTCAAAGTGTGCATAATATGTGGTTCATCTCTCTTGTTATTACATTATCCTTTAGTCTTGTCCCTCCTCTGACAAACACTCAAAGTCACCCACAGTAAGATCTCCCATTATCCATCAAATTGACAGATTTAATCCTGCAGTAATATTAATGCTTAAGTCTAAGTAGGATTATTTTGCCAGTGGCTTACTTAACTTAATTGGACATATCCTAATATGTGTATCATCTGATTTATTTATTTCAATAGTATGCAGGTATTACTGAGTTAAATTTGTGTCAAAAAGTGACTTGGCTTGACCACTGTCTAAATGCACAATAATGATCATATATGAGCATTTTCTACATGGAGCCAAATTGGCAACAAATATTAGATATTTGGAATATAGAGACATGTAGCACAAATACTGGTACAGGTTGGGTTAACTGCAGCTTGAATCCAAAAACCCACAGGTGCCTAAATATGAGCAGTTCCAGTCCTCCTGTTTTCCATATGCTTCTAAATTGAGCAATAATCTCACACAGTCAAATTAGCACTTATGTCACACTTATGAGGCTATTGCTCTAACCACTAAGCTACAGAACTCCACTTTTAAAGCCTGGTTTGAGCATGAATCAAAATAACTTTTTAACAGATGACACTTCCAGATAAAAAATAATTATAATAATCCTTGCATTTGATGTAGCACCTGTTCACATCATAGAGACATCTCAAAGTGCTTCACAGAATATACTGTAAAGTGAATTGACTGTATATTTTGTGGGCAAAATGCGGCAGCCAATTGTGCATAGCAGTGTCCAATAAAAAGTCATGGATTGAGAGACGACATTTTTTTTGTAGCGGAATTATTACCCCCATTTAATGAATATTAATAATTAATGTGAAACTTGCAAAGATACCAAATTAAATAAGCTCTAATTTCCAATTGTATGAAAAATTACAATGGCAACAGAATCCAGGCATTACACTACCAGAGCAAGAATCTTAAGTTTGCTGGGGAAGATTCTTACCCAAACTGCGGGTTGGGATCAACGAGAGGTGCAGGGAAAGGGGGCGGAGTAGGGAAGATGACCGAAGGTATGGTCGAAAAGGAAGTTCTTGGGAGGGGCTTTTAAAGAGGCAAGGGAGAGAATGAGGCGCAGGGGTTCTGGGATGGAGTCCCAGAGGGTGGGGGCAGGAAGGCTGAAGGGCCAACCGCTGATAGTGGAGCAGGCAGGGCGGAGGGCACGGAGCAGACCCGTGCATGCAGAGCAGAGGAAACAGACAGGATGCTAAAGTTTTAATAGGTCACAAGGACAAGGATTTTGTACTCGATCCTCTAGGGATTGGGTAGCCAATGAACCCGGGCAAGGATGAGGGTGACCAGCTTATGAAGCTGAGTACGAAAGAGGCCACAAGTTGCAGAGTTCTGAATAATCTGCAGCTTGTGGAAGGAAGAGTTGGGAAGTACAGCAAGCAGGGAGTTAGAGAAGTCAAGCCTGGATGTAATGAAAGCGTGCATGAGGGTTTCAGTAGCCTGAGGGGAAAGATAATGGTGGAGGTGGGGGAAGGCAGTTGAACCATATACTTTATAAAAAGAATAAGCCATTTTCCAAATATATCTTTCAATATAATTTGTGTCAGATACCTGATTTGAATCATTCAGTCTTGAAACCCATATTGTACTCAACAATAGGATCATCTGAATGTCATAGTTGTATTATGAAAATTCTAATAACTTGATCGAATGTGTGAACCCAGTGAACACCCTTAGTGAAACGAAAGAGCATTGACATTAAAATTTAAATTCATAGCAATTCCTCAGGGACATTGATTCAACATAGTTTGAAGCTTATCCGTTGCTTCCTATCTCCAAATATCTTTACCATGCCCTTGAAAAAAATAATTCAATGTTTTTGAGCTAAGGTTTACTTGGACTTTGATCAATTAATATTTGAGGACTCAATTGTGTTATGAATCTTGCTTGATATTATTGGGAGACTTCTAAAGGGAGTTAATCTCTGTCCTGTCCTATTCTTTCCCCAAGTTGAAGTTCTGACCTGACTGGATTTGTTTGTATACTCCTAAAGAAATGTTGTGAGAAATGTTTGACTGGGATTTTCAATGTGAACATTGTTCAGGGTAATTTAAAACATCACCTATGTAGTCAATTGAAAGGGATAAAGAAAGTAAGGAAGCTATTGAGAGGGAAGTAGCTCAGTGGTTAAAGCACTCACCTTGCAAGCGAGAGACCTGAGTTCGACTCCCGGCAAGGCGTAACACTGGGCAAGTTTCCTTACTCCGCACGCCTCTGTTTACCTAGCAGTAAGTAGGAACCCTGTTGTTAGTCGATTCACAGAACACTCTGTAAAGTGAATTGACTGTATATTTGTGGGCGAACGCGGCAGCCAATCGCGCACAGCAATGTCCCACAAACGGTCGTAGATTTAAAATGGCCAATTTATTATTATTTTTGGTTTTGGAGGGATTATTATTAGGCGTGTGGAGTAAGGAAACTTGCCCAAGGTTTCACCCTGCCTGAAATTGAACCCAGGTGTCTCGCTTGCAAAGCGAGTGCTCTCACCACTGAGCTACAGGACTCCTCTATATTCTGTGAAACACTTTGAGATTGTCGAAGTCATGATAACATGCTATATCAAATGTAAGGATTACTATTATGACTAGTAAAGATCAAGTATCATTCTCTGATTAGAGCACAACAATACGTAATGGCTTGAATAATATTAATCTATTGGATGTCAACATTGTGGAGAGACAGTAAAAGAGAATCAATTATGATCACAATGTTCTGAAGCCTCATCCCTTGGTTAATTTTATCCTATGCTGAGAAACAAAGATTCATATATAATACTAGGCCAATTATGGTGAGAAACAATGCAAAACTGATCTGTAATACTGTATCTGGAAATGCAAAAACTTCATATTCTGGGTACAAACCAGAAGAGATGATTTTCACAAACGTGTACTGCTTTTCATTCGTAAAGTATTTGGAGCTGACTAAAGTTAAATACCTGACATAGACAATTCCCCAATACAAATGGTTACAAGTTTGGTCTTCAGGGCATGAAATCCTAAATATGCTATTGCCTTTCGAAATTCAAAGGCAGTAAAGCTAATGTTTCTTCCTCCCCCAACCATTATTCATCTAATAGCTGAAAGTGGGTAACTGCACTGACCCCAAAATACAATGCAAAATCTCAACCGCAGTGTCGATTTACCTGTGAAGTGCTGTGAAACACCATCCTGTTGTCAAAGGCGCTATGTCAAATTTAAGGATTATTATTATTGCATATTTTACATATTATTAATAAAGTATCTTTCATACCAACAAGAACGACAACAACTTACATTTGTATAGCATCTTTCACTTCGGGAGGATGTCCCACGGTGCTGGAAATCAGCTTATTTGATTATCCACAAAATGCTATTTTCCATAGCAGGACAAAATTGCCACTTGATAATCATATTCCTTGAACTTACATATTGACAACCTCTCAAAGTCCTTCACAGGAGTTGTAGTAAGGTGTGACTGTGTATCTTGTTGGCGAAATTCCTGTAAAAGTAAACTTCCTTGTCTTGATAACTGAAATTTAAGTAAGTTTGTGCATTGTTGCTAATTTAGTTTCTACTTGCAAGTGGGAAAGGATAATGGAAAGCGTAATTGATTTATTCATTTCATTCTCTTATTTTTCTTGTAATCGATATTTACATCTACATGCTCCCTCTTGGTGACATCACCCGCAGACATGGGGTCAACTTCCATATGCCAACTTCTATATTGGATGACACCCAACTTTTCTTTCTGCCTCCACCCTCAACTCCAGGACCACTGCTGTCCAGACAGACTGCCTGTCGGATATTCTGGATAAGGACACATTTCCTACAGTTGAATGTGAAAAAGACTGAGGCCCTCCTGATTGGCTCACGCCAGTGCCTCTGCACCTCAGGTTCTGGCAGTATCAACATTCATGGTTGCACATTACAACTCACCAAGCCAGTCAGGAACCGAGGTGTCTTGTTCGGCCCTCAACTATCTTTTCTTCCCCACATCCAAGCCATGACCCGCTCTGCTTTCCCTCACCTCCATAACATCACCCGACTCCGCCACTACCTCACCCCTCAGGCCACTGAAACTCTTGTTCATGCCTTCATCACCTTCAGGCTCAACTACGCAAATGCCCTCATTGTCGGCCTTCCCAACTCCTCCCTCCACAGGCTGCACATAATGCAGAACTCTGCAGCCCATGTCCTCTCCCACACTAACCTCCATGACCCCATCTCCTCCACTCTCGCCCAACTCCATTGGCTCCCTATCCTTCAGAGGATCCAGTTCAAGATCTTGGTCCTCACCTACAAAGCCCTCCATGGCCTCACCCCAACCTACCTCTGCGACCTCCTAACCTCCTACTAACCCACCCGTTCCATACGCTCAGCCGGCTCCGGCCTGCTCCACGTCCCCCAACCCACCTGCCCCACCATTGGCTGGAGAGCCTTCAGCCATTCTGCCCCCAACCTCTGGA